CTTTTTTTGTTTTTTTTTTAGCATTCTCCCATTTTTAAGCTTCACAGTTGCAAAAATCTCATCTGAAGCTAAATTTTGATAGAGCTTGGAACCACTCAACAGACTAGTTCAAGGTTTTGCAAGTCCAATTCACTGCTTTAAAATCTTCACTTTGAGAAACTAATAGAATGGGCAAAACATACACTAGAAGCATTCAACATGTTCTTAGCCATTTGAAAATACAAAATACATGGCATAACATTTACTTGTTCCCCAAAAAATGCTTTCCTCCTTCTGAAGTACATTCACCCTACCTCCATTCCGCAATTCAGGAAGCCTAAAAGGACTTTGGTTTGATATTATTCCCTGTTTCTTTACAGCAATCAGTCTTGGCAATGCAAATGCAAAATCTGCTTTGAAAACTCTGCACATTTATTAGCTGAAGCTTTTTGCTTCTTCCCTTTTCAGAGGAAGAAAAACAGCAGAAGAGAAGGGAAATTATTTGACACCTAAATGCAACTGCAGAACACACACACACACACACACACACACACACACACACACCACATTTATCCATACCAGTCTCTGGAACAATTACACTTTCAAAGGCCAGAAGACATTTATCACCAAAAAAAAAAAAATGCTTTGGGAGTGAGGTTAGCTCTCAGTGAATTTGTAAGGAGTTTTTTCTCTTGTTACCTTGGTAACAGCTACCTTGGCACCCTTGTTGATAAGCTGCACCACATTATCCACTTGCCCTTTGTATGCAGCTATGAGAAGGCGTTCTGAAAGGACGGCGACCACATCCTGCTGGCTCATGAATTAGGAAAGAATGGCTTTGGGAACAAGCTTCTTCAGTCCAAAACAAAAGATTCACATCAGTCCAACTGCCAGGCACAGAGGGACCCCAGCATGGGAGAAGGTTGATCTGTTGCTAAGCCATCTTCTGCATCTGTGGATTGGAGCGGCTGGAGGGGGTAACAAAATACACAGTCAGACACATCTTGTAAAGAAAAGAAAGCAGCAGCAGCAGCAATTCCTTCCCAAAAAAATTCTGAAAAGGAGGAAGAAATGGCAAAGATTACAAAGCTAGTAGATGAACACAACCAAAAAGATGGGGAGGAGGTACATTTTTTATCCATCCATCAGCCATTCACACATTTAATAAGAACTGCAGTCATTAGAGTACATCCAGAGTAGTATATGACAACCTCAACAGAACGCAGACCTGGCACTTTTTGGTGACCAACCTCTATTTTCTAGTCCTTTCAGGATGCCCATTTGCAAGCCTGACATCTCTTCACAGCCTTTCTGTTAAAAGACAGCAGCACTACATCTTATTCTCTTACCGAGGTGCTCACTTTCACAAAATACTACCTCCAGTGTGTGTGCGTGTCCACCAGTCACCCATGTCCAAATTTCTTCCAGCTGTAATCTCATGATTGTTAAGTGTATCATAAACCCGACCTCGACTGTGCTTTGAACAGCTCGGCGCTCTATGCGTCTTCTAACTGTCGGACCTCATTCTTCAGGAGCAGAGCATTAAAGAGCAAAAAACCACTGGAGGATCCTTCACACAAGAGACTGTAAACCACCTCTCCAACCTATTTGTGTATGCCAGTGGAAGCCATGTGGAAGCACATTCTTAACTCAGAGCAAAAGTTGTCCTTTCCAATTGACAAGAATGCCAGTTTCTTTGGTGGAACATTTGAGGTCCAGATTGCCCATGCACAGAATGAAAATGAGAGAACAGCCTGTACCAATTCAGAATGAATGGATCACATTTTTTATATTCCTCTTCTTAAAGAAGGGGGGAAAGCACCTCTTTTTAATAACAAACTAGCAAAAAAAAAAAAAAAGGCAAGCAAACATGTTAAGGTAGAACTTTTTTCCCTGACATTATACAGCTCTTAAAACTTTCTGGGACTGTTTTTCTTTCGTGGTGGGAACACTAAAAAAATGGTCACAAAATAGGCTTTGTCACAGGTGAACAGGCTTCTTATAAGCTTGCCATACAGAGATATGAGTATTCCAGACTGAAGCAACACCTTAAGACAAAGACATTATCCACAGGAGGGCAAGAATCACATGTAATAGGAAATTCACATGCATGCCATACGTATGATCCTCATTACCACAGGTCCATATGAACATATGAAGGCAACTTCTGATGATTCCTAGGTATATCTTTTTTTCAGAAGAATGGTCATATATATGCTTCATACACATATCCTACATTCATTATCAATCTCCCATCATTTATTTGCTACAAGAAAATGTTCTTGGTCTCACTGACATATTCTTAGAGACAACAACTGTTTCCAATAGCAGGTAAGTGAAATCCATAATCCTGATCCAAATCAAACATTCTTCCAGGAAGCGTTACAAAGCCATCAAAGGATAAAGGATATTTTTAAATTTTGCATTTGTGTATCCCACAAAATAGTAAAAAGATTGCCTGTCTTTCCCTCTTCTAAGCTGGCTAGTTTCCTTACATTAATTTTTTTTTTTCATCTTATTGTTGGCAGCTTACATCTGTCTGTGTCTGCAAATCTTCTGCTAATGATATTTGGGGGTTTGAACTAGGAAAAGTTCCAAACTAAAGGGAAAAAAGTAAGCAAGTCTGTTTTTTTTAAAAACCTCAAGAGGAAACAGTAATATGGAAACTCAATAATGTCAGTCACCTTTGAAAAAGGGAGAGGATGCTTTATTACAGAGGCTTATTAACACATTCAAAAGCTACATCCATCCATATCCCCTTCCATCCAGAAGCCAGCAGGAAATCTTGCCATTCTAAATCTTGCTGCTGCCACAGTGTGCCTTCACCAAACATCCAGAACAGCTCCATGTTGCACTGATGCTCATACAACCCACAACATTCCAAGGCCCCTGACTGGTAGTTTTCTCAGATAAAATTCCAGCCCTGACCAACTTCATCCAGTACATCAAACCTCCCCCTCCAAATGGCACATACTCTGATTACTCTTTTCTTTCCCATTACAGGTAGTCCTGCGGTTAAGAACATCCAGGTTACAGATGACTCATAGTTAAGAACAGAACCTACTATAGCAAAATTCAAGTTAACTACACAATGATTTGAGTTAAATACACAATGGTTCGAGTTCATTACACAATACTACTTATACAGTATTATACAATAATACTGTTCCAGCTTACATACAAATTCGACTTCAGGAGAGACCTTGGGAACAGAACTCATTCTTAAACTGGGGACTACCTGTGTACCTTTAACTGATGAACTTAAAAAATTACAGGTAGTCCTGCGGTTAAGAACATCCAGGTTACAGATGACTCATAGTTAAGAACAGAACCTACTATAGCAAAATTCAAGTTAACTACACAATGATTTGAGTTAAATACACAATGGTTCGAGTTCATTACACAATACTACTTATACAGTATTATACAATAATACTGTTCCAGCTTACATACAAATTCGACTTCAGGAGAGACCTTGGGAACAGAACTCATTCTTAAACTGGGGACTACCTGTGTACCTTTAACTGATGAACTTAAAAAAATATATGTATTTTTAACTATTGGTCAACCACTAGGTGGCAGCAAAGAAAAGGGTTTTTGCATCTCTTTGCTGCCATCTACTGGCTGTCTCAAACTGTCCGCCAAGGGGAGCCAAGATGCAGCCACCAGATAAATGTACAGTAGTTGAAGAGCCGGAACTGGCAAGAAGGGAGGGGTTGTTATGGGGATTAGCGTAGAAGCTGTACCCAACGATATTACATGAAGAGAGGAAATGAGGATTTAGGGCTTTCCAAGGTACAATGGCCATTGGGAATGGAATTCCCCATCATGCAGCACATGCACAAGACCCAAGTCCTGTCCATTACATGCTATAAGCCAGAAATGGAGTAATTAATTTCAGGGCTTCACAAACATTTAGAAAAGGAAGAAATGACAAAGTGACTGCAGAAGTCAGGATTCAGGATGCCCTCACACTCCAACCTTTCTTCTTGCATGTTCTGCTGACTGAATCTCTTATCATTTACATTTATTTATTTGTTTAAAAGACTTACTGTATACAACATAACTCTGGGCAGCTTAGCCAACAGTGATCAAAATACAAAAGGAATAATAAAAACCAGCATCCAAAAAGAGTTCCTGGTGCCCTAAAAAAGCACTCTCCAATACGTAAACATCACAATCACTGGGCTCCAGCCTCACCTGGGGGAAAAGCCAGGTTTTTAAGGCCTTCTGGAAGGCTAGAAGGATGGGGGCCTGCCAGATCTCATGAGGGAGGGTGTTCCACAAGGCAGGGGCCACTACTGAGAAGGCACGCTTCTAGGTCCTGTCCTGCTAGTTGACATTTAAGAGAAGGGACCTGGAAGTGTGCCCATCCTATCCAACCTAGTGGAGTGGGCAGATACCCTCTGGGAGAGATGGTCCCACAAAGAGGCTGACCCCATCTCATGCAGGGCTTTAAAGGTGATAACCAGCACCCTGAATTGCACCTGGAAAGGAAGTGGAAGCCAGCAGAACTCATGCAGCAATATGCATTTGGGTGCAATATGGGCAAACCAAGGGGTGCTCAAAACTGTGTGCACCACTGCATTTTGGACCAGTTGCAACTTCCAGATGGTCTTCAAGGGCATCCCCATGTAGAACACACTGCAGTAATGCAGCCGGGAAGTAACCAAGGCATGAATGACTGTGAGCAAGGCCGCTGGTCCAGGAATAGGTGCAACTGGTGCACGAGATGGATCTGTGTAAAGGCCACCTAGCTTTGGCTGCCACCCGCTCCCAAACAGGAGACATGAGTCCAGGAGGACCCCCAAATTGTGCACCAGCCATACTAGGGGCATCCTATCCTATTGAGAGTCAAAGATGACACCTCTCTGTATTGGGGGGGAGCCATTTCAATAAGCCACATTTTATATGGATATCAGCTGAGACTTCTTCAGTACTAGAATTATTAATTAAATTTATCCATCCTTGCTTTGGAGGGATGGAAATATAAAGCCACTTTCTCTTTCCTTCCTTTCTCTCCCTATTTATATAGGGCCTGGTGTCAGCCCTACGAGACAGACCAGATCAGGAAACTGATACCACAGGAAGATTAGAGCTATACTTTGAGATAGGCTATAACAGAATCTTGCAAGTCTGATTGTATTTTACTTCCCCTCCCTCTTATATCCCAGTAAATCAGGGAAGTGCCTACCTAAGTCTCTTCTGAATACTATCTTTTTTCCCAGGTCTTAAGAATATTTCAGCCCTCTTTGTTTATATAATGGTTCTTGCCTATTTCCCTTAAGAACATCTCCCTGACTCTCTGCACCTGAAGACCCCAGGGTGCCATGACCGCTCAGAGATCACCAATTTCCCTGCCATTCCCCTCAAAGGAAAGGAAGGGGAAGAATTTGGCCCATCTCCTCCCTAACAAGCTTAGTTGAGAAGGCAGCATCTTAAGACAACAGTCACCCTTCTTTCCAAACAGTTGCTTATGGGAATACTACTGGGGTACCTAGCCAACCTTGGCTGATCTCAAAAAGGTAAGCAGGGTTGGATCTGGTTAATACTTGAATGGGGATCCCCGTGGAAATCCCAGGGTTATAGGCTGGACTGGGAAGTTGGCAAAACATCTCAGAAAAAGCCAGTGGTAAACCACTCTCATACTGTTGCCGAGGGAACTATACAGATGTGTCCATGAACCACCAGGGAGTATGTTCCCTTCCAAAGAGGCTTTATATGTAGCTGACAAAACAGATGAGAATTTCAGACCCATAGCAATGAGGCAAAGTTGAAATACACTTCTAAATAATGAATTCCAAGAACAGTCCTGGATGACTCATTCTCTGCTGCCCTACAGTGGAAGAGTACAAAAACAAAACAAAAAAAGATATCCAAAGCAAACAATGCTAGGCTGCTTCAGAGATAAGTTAGCAATTGGCAGTTTCTAGTACTTTTAAACAATGAATGCCTACCATGAACCAAA